CCAGTTCCCCCTTTCACCACCAGTTCCCCCTTTCACCACCAGTTCCCCTTTTTATCACAGATTCACAAAATAGCTCAATTATAGTTTACTTTTCTTCAGAAGATTGTGACAAAAACAAACAATTTACTAAAATTTTGTCTGTTGGCTCTAAAATTAAGGCTCATTTCCAGAAATACTGAAGAAAGTGCTGAAAAATTTGGGCTAGAAAGTTTTGTGGTGAAAGTCTTATTTTTACTAGTTATTCAATAGTTTACTCTCATTGCTGGCAGCAACAATATTAATTGTCAATACAGTAAATTATATCAATTATTTTAAAAATTACCTGTTTGCATGATTTCTACAACTGTAATCACTTTATCCATGTGTTTTCTGGCAGCAATGAAACCTTGTAACATCAGGATTTTGAAATATTCAAACATATCACTACCAAGCCCACCCATAACCTATTAAAAAATAAATTCAACAGTTAGTCAACGAGACTTTACACAATGCTGGATCATGCTGGCCATATAACTAATTTCCACACAACACAAGCATCAAGTTCATAAAGTTTTCTATAGAGGTATGAATAGTAATTAATTTACAGATGATTATTGGCAATTATGTCGAGTTGAGTATGCTACGTACTGTAGAAACTCTCAGGATAAGAAAGCAGCATTTTAAACCATGCCTTGCTGGAGCTAAAAACTCTCCTGAACACAGTAATGCAAGCAATCAGAAATATTTAAAAAAGATATCGCTTGGGAGAGTGGTAGTTATAACTTTTGCAAAATGATTTTGGCAACTTAGGTGAATCATAGACCCTTTTAGAGGGTCTATGGGTGAATGCCATGATCACTCACCCATGATCTGCATTTGGTAACGTGGACAGCAATGAATTACAAATCATTAAACCTGTTTGTATTACAGACACAAATGGCATTGTTCCTGTTTGTATTACAGACACAAATGGCATTGTTTCTGTTTGTATTACAGACACAAAATATGTACATGGCCTAATACGTGATGTATTTGTGGAATTTAAACTTGATTGGTTAAGGCATGTATGAGATACGACTCTCACTGGGACTGCATTCATTTGAACAGGATGACAACCAGCAGCCATTTTTTAATTGATGGTGACAAAAATGCACACGCGTTTGTCTGATAGGATTTCTGTTGTATGTGTGAATTTTGAACATGACTGGTTCAGGCATATCAGATATATGGACCCAAAAGTGCATTCTTTAAACCAAAATGGTGGCCAGTTGGCCATTTTGAACCTGATCCGCAAAAAAAATGACGTCTATTTATGTTCAATGTGTGCACCAAGTTTGAACAAAACCTGTCCATGCGCTGCACAACTGAAATTTATTTTGGAAGAGTGAAAATGTGCAATTTTTGGCCTTAAAATGACTTACCATTTGGTTATTTTAAATTGGATTTTAAAACAAAAGCTTGTATATATGACTGATGTAATGTCTAATGTATGTGTGAAGTTTGAACTTGATCGGACCAGTCATGTTGGATATATAGATCTGGAACTGCATTCTCCAACACAAAATGGCCACTTTGACAAGATTCAAAAATATAATGATGTGCATCAAGATCCCATCATGTTCAACATATGTACCAAGCTTGGTCATTTTTTTGGCCTTAAAATGGCTGTCATTTGGCTACCTTGAGATTACGAAGGAAATGCATGTTCATATGTATGTGTGAATTAATCGATTCAAGCATGTGTGAGATTCGGCTGAATGGACGCAAGCACAGATGCACGCATGAAGATCAATTCATAAGTTTCCAGATGTTTTAAAACCTACCTCAACAAATTCATGAGTTAGCTTAAAATGAGAGCTCTCAAATCCTAAATTGCGAGGTGAATTTGATAAAATAA